AACAACAACAACAACATACCATCAAATCAGATCTGACTGGTACAGGAGAAGATTGTCCCTCCTTCCTCGGCAGAACATCTGGTGGATTTGAACCGTGCATCTCTGGGATTGCAGTGCAGCTTCTTGCCACTAGGCCACCAGAGCTCCCCTATGAATGTACCATAAAATTTCTTAATCCACTTGTTTGTGGTTGGATATTTGGGCTGTTTCCATGTTCTTGCGGTGGTGAATAATGTTGCTGCGAACATTGGTGTACAAATCTCAGTTTGTGCCTCAGTTCTCATATTCTCAGGGTATATTCCAAGTAGTGGAATAGCTGGGCCATATGGAATTTCTATGTTCACCTTTTTGAGGAAGTGCCAAACTGCCTTCCAGAATGGTTGCACCATTTTACAATCCCACCAACGATGTCAAAGAGTTCCTTTCTCGCCACATCCTCTCCAGCGTCTATTACTTGCCGTTAAACTTTGCCGCTCTTATTGGAGTGAGATGGTACCATTGCATCTCTCTTATTGCCAGTGATTTGGAGCATTTCTTCATGTGTCTGTTTGCCATTCGAATATCTTCCTCTGTGAAAATTTTTTCCGTCTTTTTCCCATTTTGTAATTGGGTTATCAGTCCTTTTTTATGGAGGCCCAGGAGTATTCTGTAAACTTTTGTTGTAAGACTCTCATCTGAGATGGTAAATGTTTGTTCCCAGTCTGTAGGTTTTCTTTTTACCTTGTTAGAAAAAGTTTTTGATGTGCACAAGGATTTAACTTTTAGAAGGTCTCATGCATCAGTTTATCCTCTTTAGATTGTGCCTTTCTGGCTGTATTTGGCAGTGTCTCTATACCTTGGACTAGTGCTTCTAAGCTTGATATCAGTTCATCTTTTATGAATGTTATGGTTTTGAGCTTTACTCTGAGATCTGTGATCCACCTTGAGTTAATTTTTGTGTATGGTGTGAGATGTGGATCCTGTTGCAGTTTTCTGCAGGTAGCAGTCCAATTTTAGCAGCATCACTTGTTGAAGAGGTTGTCATTTCCCCATTTGGTAGCTTTTTTCTCTTGTCAAATATCACTTGACCATAGATAGTCCATTTCTGGGTTCTCAATTCTATTCCATTGGTCTCTGTGCCTATCATTGTACCAGTACCATGCTGTTTTGGTTACCGCTGCTGTGTAGTAGGTTTTGAGATCAGGGGGTGCTATGCCTCCAATCTTATTTTTATTTCTCAGAAGTGTTTTGTTCATTTGAAGTCTCTTGTCTCTCCAAATAAATTTGGTAATTTCCCTTCTAATCTCCTTGAAAAATGGTATCTGGTTTGTCAGAGCCCTTCTTGGATGATTTTTAAATCAGGTGGAGTAGACTCTGTGTCTTATTTTGGTTCTTGTAGACTTTTATTTTCTTCGCATTGAACTTGCACATGAGTAATGGATGGTCTGTTCCACAGACGGCACCTGGCCTCGTCTTGACCGCTGATACTGAGCTTCTCCAGCGATTCTTTCCACAGATGTGGTCCATCTGATTCTTGTTCAGGCTGTCATGTGAGGTCCAGCTCTTCATTTGTGTTCCTTAAGAACAGGTATTTGCCAGGAATAAATCATTGAACATACAAAATGTGGGTATTTGATCTCCACCTTCATATCTGTCACCAAGTCCGTACTTCCCAACTACTAGGGCTCCTTTTTACCACCTTTTCTGTTCCGGTCACCATTTATTTATTTAAATTTTTTAAATGTAAATTTATTATTAATTTCAG